GAAGGAAGGAAGGAAGGAAGGAAGGAAGGAAGGAAGGAAGGAAGGAAATTTTTGACTGGGGTCTAAAGAATATGGTTAAAAAGTGATATGCTAGACGTCCTTATGTTGCCAATATATACAGTGAAGTAGAAGTGTTTCTGATTAATCAAATATTCCTAACAGGGAATTATATAATTTGTAAATTACCAATTCTCAAAAATATAAATACATTTAATACTTAACTAATACTAAACACTGCATACAACATACTGCTTTCCTAAGTAAGTACCCAGGATGGAGGAAGAAATGAAATAAACTGTGGTATTTAAAAATTAGAAATAGAATATCAAAGTTTTAATCAAACTCTTATTAAAATTATGTTTTTACCTTCTAAACATTCTCTATCATCAATAACAAAAGTTAGATGTCTAACATTAATATTTTTTCCTCAATCAAAAATAAAAGATGACAGTACTCTTGCTCCTATAAGCAACAGTATAACCAATATCCCTAGCCTTACCTGACTTAATATTTGTAGTGAGAGGAGGGAAAATAATTGGTTATAAAAATCTAAGTTTCATATCTTCTCACTCAATTCAAAATCTATAGGAAATTTCAAATTTCCAGCGGTATGTGTTTCAGGTGCTTATAACATTGCTCTGAAATGCAAGTTTTGAGAGAAACCATACAGATTTCCAACTACCTAAATTTATAGATTAAAATCTAAAACCTAGCACCTGAAAGGTTAAACTTAGACAAGATGGCAGAAAATCTTTTTTTTTTTTTTTTTTTGGTGGGGGGGGCGCTCTTTTTCTATTCTATTTCCATGCACCACACAAGGTTTACCACCAGGTGGAGGTAGAAAGCCAAGCCTGTACAGTTCTACTTTTTTTGGTACCTACTAAACACTCAGAATTGTCAGAGTCAAGTATCAAGTTACTTTCTTGAAAATGATTCACATGCCGAAATAAATAAAATGTGAAGTGATGAACAACCTTCTGACCAAGGTGATGAGTAACCCTGAACTCAATCTTTTGTAACACTGATTACATTTGAGCAAATAACAATGGAGTTCTTTTCTATGAGAATAAGATATGAAAAGATGGACCAAACAAGGCAAGACAATACTCAGCCACTTACATACAGTTTTATTTAATATGTTCCAGTATCATTCTGTACAGTACATTAACAAGAGTAATGGTGAAATAAATCTTTTCTTAGAACTGTGAGTCAGACGGATATTTTAAAAATTAGCATTATATTCATATTATTCAACATAAGTGAATATAAGAGACATATCTACACAATTCAATATTTATTAAGAGTACACAATAAAAAGCTTTTTCCTCAAACCTGTCCTGTAGCTACTCAGTTTTCATCCTCAGTTTCTTACGTATTTTTCCAGAAAAATACATGCTCTCCCTTTTAAACAAGATAGAGATACCACTATCTCCCTTTCAAAAACAAATAGTAGCATCATATGCATCTTGTTTTTTTCACCCAACAACATATTTGGAAAGTTTTATTTTAGAAAAGAATGTCCTCAAATGTTTTTACAGCTGCATATTATTTAAATAAATTTTTTTATATCTACACAGTAGAAAAGATATGAACCTAAACTAAGTGACAACCAAAACATCAACAATGGAACAACAATTAAAGAAATAAAGCCAAATTATAGGTAAGATTCCTTATTTTTTCTACCAATGGGTATAAAATAGATATTTGGTGTTCTGGCATTTGTGGCCACTTGGTCATAAAACCTTTATGCATACTTGGATGAAAAAGCTTAATTTCTTCCAAGTGTATGTAAATTTCCCAGAAACTTAAGACAACTTTGGAAACAAAGGCACTTTCTCTTTTCCTCAATCTGCATGCTTTTATTAGTATTATTTTGGGATATACAGACTGCTGTTACTCAAACAAGTCTACACTTCATAAAAATACAAATTTCAAAATAAAATTATATTTGGTATATTCAGTTTATGAGCTTTGTTATAATACTTACAATGTAATTAAGTATAATCTGTAAAACTTCCAATGTCTTATAAGGGTTAATCAAGCATTTCTAGAACTAAGAAGTTATCTTGAATTAAAAGAAATTAAACCAACTTTCTTGCTGGTCATGCGATTAACCAACTACATTGCTTACTATCATCACACAATGTCAAATTTAACCAAAGTACTGTACCTCATGATGGATGCTTGTAAATCCAGTATTTTCCTCATCTCTAAATTTAATGCTGGAGCACACTGTTCTTCCTTAAAATGGGGTGTCCCCTTCATTTGTGGACTTCCTCTAAAAGAAACAGCATAGAGTTAAAGAAAAAGATACCGAATTTACCTCCACTCTGTGGCTAATATACATCCAATCAAATAAAGCAAATGAAATCAGACTTACAAATCAGGTATTCATCCTTCAGATTCTCAAATGAAAAACAGACTTAAATTTTATTATAGCAGACATATCTACTTATCAATTGGAAATAAATGTTTGACCATGTAATTTGTGTTAGGAGGGTAGGAAGGAGAAGAGCAGACAATCTGAGGAAAAAAAAACCCACTTGAAATAAAAGTGAACTAACTCTAAAGAGAACAAACAGGCATTTTGTTTAAAATTACTGAGGACCCTTTCTAAGGTGGGAAACTATGGGGAAAAAAATGTATCTTTCTATATAGTACCTGTCCCAGTGATACAAATCTTAACTTCATCTTTACTTACTCCACACCTTATCCTTAATTCCTATTTTTAGGTATGTATCAGAATTAAGGCTAAATTCAAGGGTGCAATTAGGAAATATTTCACAAATTACTTGGTAATAAATAGCAAAATAGCTAAAATTTTTAATCCCTGGCATTAAATAGCTGCAGTAGACTGCTGGGTCAATGCCAACTTAATTGAATTGCCACACACAACCCCTCAAAGGACTATAAGCTGTTTTGTATTCTTTATCTTCACAGGGCATAGGAGTAGACCAGTATCTTCTTCAGTGCCTGTGTTGGAATTTAACAGTTATCTGTCTCTGTCAGTTATCACCTGTGGCAGCACTTAGCCTGCTGACATCATCTCTCCCTTTCCAGTCGAGTACAGTCCTATAAATTAATTTGTCAATACTATTAAAATAATGCCCAAAGAGTCAAACAAGTCCAATAGCTTTCAAAGTTCCTGGCTTTGTGAAAAATATTTTGATGCTCAGAAAACTCGCTTGCTATTTTTTAGTTATAGACTACTTTTCTTACAAGTTTGGTGGTACTTTATTACCATTCTATCCTGCTACTGCCATGATCTGGAGTACTTAATTCCTTCTAAGTCTAAATGACTAAGCTAGCTAATGTTTAACCATAGAGGTTCATGTTCAACTAACATGTCTCACTGATGTGACAGCCTATATAAAGGACATGAAAGTAACTAGTTAAAGGTGCAGTGGCTCACGCCTGTAATCCCAGCACTTCGGGAGGCCAAGGTGGGCAGATCACGAGGTCTCAGGAGATCAAGACCATCCTGGCTAATGCAGTGAAACCCCATCTCTACGAAAAAAAAATACAAAATATTAGCCGGGCATGGTGGCACATGCCTGTAGTCCCAGCTACTCAGGAGGCTGAGTCAGGACAATCACCTGAACCTAGGAGGTGGAAGATGCAATGAGCCAAGATCATGCCACTGCACTCCACCCTGGGTGACAGGGCAAGACTCTGTCTCAAAAAAAAAAAAAGTATCTTCTCTAACCAAATGGAATATAACTAGAAATCACTAAAAGAAAATCTAGAAAGTTCACAAATATGTGAAAATAAAATAATACACTCTAAATCAATGACTCAAAGAAGAAACCAAAGGGAAATTAGGAAATACTCTGAAACTAATGAAAACAAAAATGCAACATTATAGGATACAATGAATAAAGTCCTCAGAGGGAAATTTATTCCTAAAATGCCTACATTAAAAAAAAGATTTCAAATCAATAGCCCAACTTTATACCTTATGGAACTAGTAAAAGAGCTGGCAGAAGGAAAGATATAATAAAAACTAGAGTGGCTATACATGAAATTGAGAATAGAAAAACAATAGAGGAAAAATCAATTAAAGCAACAGTTGGTTGTTTAAAAACATCAATATAATTGAAAAACCTACGGAAAAAGAGAGAAGACTCTAAAAGTCTGAAATGAAAGTGGAAATATTACTACTGATCATACAAAAAAATAGTATGGCTTATAAGAGAATAATGTAAACAACTGAATGCTAACAAGTTAGATAACCTATGTTAAATGAACAAATTCCTAGAATTTGTTCATTTAAATCACAAATTTCCCAATTTATTCAAAAGGAAATAAAACGTATAAATAGACCTATAACAAGTAATAAAATTGAGTCAGTTATCAAAAGCCTCCCAATAAAGAAGAACCCAAAACCAGATGGCTTAATTAGTGACTTACACAATATTTAAGAATATTAAGAATGAACATCCATCCTTCTCAAGTGTGTTATTAAAAAAAAAAATAGGTACGAGGAGGGAACACTTTCTAATCCATTCTCGTTTTCTGAGATGAAGTCTCACTATCACCAGGCTGGAGGGCAGTGGCACAATCTCAGCTCACTGCAACCTCCAACTCCCTGGTTCAAGTGATTCTCCTTCCTCAGCCTCCTGAATAGCTGGGATTACAGGCACACACCACCATGCCCAGCTAATTTTTGTAGTTTTAGTAGAGACGGGGTTTAACCATGTCAGCAACGATGGTCTTGATCTCCTGACCTCAGGTGATCTGCTCACCTCGGCCTCCCAAAGTGCTGGGATTACAGGTGTGAGCCACCACGTCTGGCCTTCTAATTCATTTTATAAGGTTAGCATTATCCTGATACCAAAGTCAAAGACACAGACACTGAAAGAAAAGGAAACCATGGCTCAATATACCTTAAAAATATAGATGCAAAAATACTCAACAAAATAATAACAAACTAGATCGAGTAGCATATTAAAAGGATTATCCATCATGACCAAGTGGACTTTAGCTCAAGAATACAACCGTGGTTCAACACATGAAAATCAATGTGATATAATATAATCACATTAACAGAATGAAGGGGGAAAATCCCAGGATGATTTCAATTCATGCAGAAAATGCACGTGAAAAATACTAATACTCTTTTAAGATAAAAACACTCAACAAACTAGGAAAGGAAAAACTTTTTCAAAATGATAAAGGACATACATGAAAAAGCACACAACTAACATCTTATTCAGTGGTAAAAGACTGAAAGTTTTCTATGATCAGTCTTGATACAAGAATGCTGCTCTCACTACTGCCATGCAACATCATACTGGACATTCTAAACAGCAATCAGGTAAGAAAAAGAAGTAAAAGTCACCCAAAACAAATGGAAGAAATGGGACACTCTCTATTCAAAGATGTCATGATAGTATAGTATACACAGAAAATTCTAAAGAATCCACACAAGAGTTATTAGAGCTAATAAATGAATTCATCAAAGTTATAGTACATGATCAACACAGAAAGCAAATGTATTTCTCTACACTAGCAATAAAAATTTCAGAAAACAATTCCATTTACAATAGCATCAAAAAGAGTAAAATATTTGGGAATACATTGGCCCAAGGATGCGTAAGAGTTATATGTTTAAGAGTTGTATGTGTAAATAAATTAGGGGAGAACTGAGAAGTTGGAAAGGCATACTATGTTCATGAATGGAATATTTAATATTGTTAAGATGTTAATACTTCCCAAGTATTAGCTATGGATTAAATGCAATTTCTACCAAAATCCCGATTTTTTTTAAAACAGCAATGGGAAAGCTGATCCTCAAATTAATATTGAAAGGTAAGGAATCCTGAAGAGCCAAAATAATCTTGAAGAGAACGAAGTTGGAGAACTCACATTTCCGAATCACAAAACTTACTGCAAAGCAACAGTAACCAACACAGCGTGGTAATGATATAAGGGCAGACATAAAGATCAATGGGACAGAATTGAGAGTCCAATAATAAACCTATACATCTATGGTCAATTGATTATTGGCAAGGGTGCCAAGTGCACCCAACAGGGGAAAGAACATCTCTTTAACAAATGTTACTGGGACAACTGAATAGTCATTTACAAAAGAATTAAGTTGGATCCTTAGCTTGTACCATAAACAAAAAATAATTCAAAATGAATCAAAACTAAATATAAGAGCTAAAACTATTCTTTAAAAATGCAAGAAAATATAGGGGTAAATTGTCATGGTCTTGCATGTGGCAATTGTTTTTTAAATATAAGCCCCCAAAGTATGAGCAACAAAAAATATATATAAATTGGACTTCATCAAAATTATAACTTTTTTGTGCAAAATGTATTACCAAGAAAGTGAAAAACCCAGAGAATGAGAAAAAAAATGAAAATCATGTATCTTAAAAGAATCTAGTATCTAGAAAATATAAAGAAGTCTTACAACTGAGACAAAGATAAGCAACCCAAATAAAAAGAAGGGAGAGGTGGGGCATGGTGGTTCATGCTTGTAATTCCAGCACTTTGGGGCCAAGACAGAAGGACTCCTTGAGCCCAGGAGTTTGAGACTAGTGAGATCCCATCTTCACAAAAAATTAAAAAAAATTAGCCAGGTGTGGTGGTAAATGCCTGCTAGTCTCAATTATTCTGGAGGCTGAGGTGGGAGGACTGCTTGAGTCCAGGAAATCAAGGATGCAGTGAGCTATGATTGTGCCACTGCCTGGATAACAGAACAAGAATCTTTCTTTAAAAAAAGGGCCAGGCGTGGGTGGCTTACGCCTGTAATCCCAGCACTTTGGGAGGCCAAGGCCAATGGATCACAAAATCAGGAGGTCGAGATCATCCTGGCCAACACAGTAAAACCTCATCTCTACTAAAATTACAAAAATTAGCTGGGCGTGGTGGCGTATGCCTGTAATCCCAGCTACCTGGGAGGCTGAGGCAGGAGAATCGCTTGAATTAAGGAGTCGGAGGTTGCAGTGAGCTGAGATCGTGCCAGGGCACTCCAGTCTGGCAAAAGAGACTCCATCTCGGAAAAGGAAGAAAAGCGGGAAGAAGACTTGAATAGGTACTTATCTAGAGAAGATACACAAATGGCCAAAGAGTATGTTCAATGTCATTAATCATTAGGGAAATACAAATCAAAATCATAATGAGATACTATTTCACATTCATTAAAATGACCCTAATATAATAAAAAACAGAAAATAAACAAATGTTGACGAGGATGTGGTGAAACCAGAATCCTCATATATGGCTTGTGGGAAGACAGTTTAGCAGTTTCTCAAAAAGCTAAATAGAGAATTACCATGTAACCTAGCAATTATACTTCCAGGTATATACCCTAAAAGAACTGACAACAGGTGTTCAAATACAAACTGTACATGAACAATTGCTATGAACATTCCTAGTCATAGCAGGACTATTCACAATAGCCAAAAAGGGAAAACAACCTCAATGTCCAGCACCTGATTAATGGATAAATACAATGTGGCAAATCCATATATCAAAATATTATTCAGCCATAAAAGAAATGAAGTACTGATACATGCTAAAACATGAATTAACCTTGAAAACATTACGCTAAAGAAGACACAAAAAGTACACACTGTATTCTTCCTTTATACAATGTTTCCAGAATAGGCAAATCCATAGAGACAGAGACAGGAAACAAATGTGTGGTTCTAGGGGCTGAGTGCAGTAAAGAACAGGGAATGACTGCTTACTCAATCCATGGTTTCTCCTTGGAGTGATGTAAAAGTTCTGGAACTAGATAATTGTCATAGTTGTACAAAACACTGTAAGTGTACTTTGTGCTACGTGAGACATGGAGTCAAAGGCCGATTATTTTGGAGCTGTAAGATTTAATGACTCTCCTATTGAGTTTAGGATCTGCATGGGGCTTACAGCCCCTTTCTTTCGGCGGATTTCTCCCTTTTAGAATGGGAGTAGTTACTCCCGTGTCTATACTCCCTTTGTATCTTGAAAGTAATTAACTTGTTTTTTGATTTTACAGGCTCATAGGTGGAAGCCACTAGTTTTTTCTCAGATGAGACTTTGGACTTTTGAGTAAATGCTGGAATGAGTTCAGACTTTGGGGGACTTTTGTGAAGGCATGATTGTATTTTGAAATGTGAGAAGGACGTGAGATTTGGGAGGGGACAAGGGTGGAATTACATGGTTTGGGTCTGTGGCCTGTGGGAGGCGACTGGATCATGGGGGCGATTTCCCCTGATGGTGCTGTTCTTGTGATAGTAAGTTATCGTGAGATCTGGTTGTTTAAAAGTGTGTAACACTATACGAGGCAAGGAAGGTGCATGTTAAACAAAAACCTAAATTTTCAAGAGAAAATGTAACTGAACATTTCTTTTTATCTTTTTGAGATGGAGTCTTGCTCTGTCACCCAGGCTGGAGTGCAGTGGTATGATCTTGGCTTACTGCAACCTCCACCTCCCAGTTCAAGTAATTTGCTTCAGCCTCCCAAGTAGCTGGAATTACAGGCGCCTACCACCACACTAGCTAATTTTTGTATTTTTAGTAGAGATAGGTTTCTGCCACGTTGGCCAGGCTGGTCTTGAATTCCTGACCTCAAGTGATCTGCCCACCTTGGCCTCCCAAAGTGTGGGATTACAGGCATGAGCCACCTCACCCAGCTTGAACATTTATTTCTAAACTATACTTTGCATTTAAATGAATATATTCCAAAGGATTAAATATAGATGCTGATAAAAAAGATAAATAACTCCACCAGGAGTGCTATGTACATATCCACTCATGAAAAGAATAAAATCATTCAAAACTTTTCTAGAGGTCTCGAGCAGATGAACCAACTATAACAAAGTTATACCACAGATAGGGTATAACAAGTTATTACTGACTCGCACTAATGAAATAGAAGCCAGCCTATTTAAGTCACAGTAGTAGTTTTGATAAATTTTGAGAAGAAACATGAAAGGAAATTAAACACCAGACTTTGACCGTATGATTCTGAGAGGAATCTGAACTAAAAGTTAGGTAAGCTAACTGGGACAAAGAATGTGAAGAGTAGGGAAGCGTAGGAAATTATACTTATTTGAAAAAAAAAATTATAACTCGCAGTTGTCTTTGTGAAACTACATGGCAAAGAAAAAATTTAATTATCTTCTAACTTTTATTAAGATTATTCGTAACTCCTGTAGTTCAAAGTTATACGAAGTTTTAAGTAATCTGTTTCAACCATTTTTCCATAAGCTTTGCCTTTAGTGTGCAATTGTGCAGAATGAAGGTGTTTACACAATGCACATATCATGTTTTGGCAAAAATACCTGTACATGAAAAGGTGCACAGCTTGTTAGACAATTCAAGTACTTTGAGAAGAAACAAAATTTACAATTTATTATATATTTATAAGGTATATTTATAAATACACCTTAATATACATAAGATAATTAATTTGTAAGATTTCCCCTCTAAAAGTGTTAAAATTTGCTAGATTTACAAACAGATTTATAAGATTGTAGATAGAATGTAAAAGTTTGAGCTACAGTTAT